CTTCCTTGTTTTGCGGGACTGGGGACTGAATCCAGGGCTTTTGCACTGAGCTACATCCCAAGTACTTTTTTTAGAAAATTGCTTTTTATTTTGAGACAATGTCTTAGTTACTTTTCTCTCATTGCTGAGACAAAATATCTGATCCCCAGAATTAAGGAAAGAAAGGTTTATTTAGCTCACAGTTTGTGGAGGTTTCAGTCCATACTCGGCTGGCTCCAAGGCAGAGTCGCACATGGCAGAGGGCAACAGTTCATGGAGGCAGAAGACAGCAAAAGTAATGAGAGCAAAAGAGAGGAGCAGGAAGCAAGCCTCTTTCCCTCTCTTATATTGTATGCAGGCTACTAGCCCCAGGGTGAGTGTAGCACTCACGCCCATAATCCCAGCATTGGACCAAGAATCACTCAAAAACTTTAGATGCCTGTCCCATAACTGCATGAGGCTTTGGGGGGTTATCCAAACACAAACCATAACATTCCACCCCTGGTCCCCCAAAGACTCATGCATAATGCTTTATGCAAGACATTTTAGTCCATCTCTAAGAGTTGCCAAAGTCCTAACAGTTTCAGCATTGCTGAGAAGTCAAGTCCCAAGTCTCCTCCAAGATCTAAGGCAAACTCTTAGCTGTGTGCCTCTGTACAAATGAAAAGTTAAACGCTTCCATTATTCAGTGGCACAAAATAAACATTACCATTCCAAAAGACACAAAACACAAGAGCATACAAAACATTGGGACCAAAGCAAGCCCAACATTCAGCAGGGCAAACATTAAGTCCTGTAGCTCCATGTAGAACATCTGAAGCAATCTGTGGCACATTGTGAGCTCCAAAGGGCTTTCATGACTCCACCCCTATGGCACTTGTGGTGGTTATAGCTCTTAGGGCTTCTCTTGTGGGCCTGCTTTGCTCCCTCCTTGCAGCTTTTGTCAGACAATACACGTTCTTGGCTTTTCCAACCTTCTGAGATCTCCACTGCACTTTAGGTTTCACACTCACAGCTTCACACACTGCTCTCTCGGGGGCACACTGCCTGGCCACCCAGGCCTTCTGAAATCTAGGTGGAAGCCTTCTTAACCTCAAAATTCTTACATTCTGTATGCACCTAAAACCAGCACCACGTGGACAGTGCCAAGGTCTGCTGCCAGCTGGAGCAGTAGCCGGGCTTTCCCCTCTCTTAGCTGTCTGGGTCAAGTGCCTGGATTTCTGGGCACTCTGAATCTGATTCTGAGGAAAAAATTCTCTGTGTTGCCACCATTCTGGAACCTGGTGCAGCCACTGCCGCCATTCTAGAACATGGCGCTCTGTGGCTTTCTTCTCAAAGCAAAGTCTTTCACTGTTGCAGTTTTGAAGCTGCAAAGGGTGGAGACTTGCTACTTTCTATGATGCCCTCAGGTCATCTTTTATATTCTCCAGTCCCTTCTCAGCAATGGAGATCTCCTCAGCTCTATCTCTGCAATCCATAGCTTTACTAGAGCTTCTTTTCTGGCCAAACTCACATTTTAAATCATCCTTGCTGGGGATATAGCTCAGCAGGCACAAGTGCCTGCCTAGCAAGCACAAGGTCCTGAGTTCAATTCCTGGTACCTAAATAAATAAGTAAATAAATAAATAAAATAAAAGTAAATAAATCATCCTGCCACGGTCTTTGCTCTTGATTCTCAACATAAATCTGGCTAAAAGCCCCCAGCAATAGCCATGCCACTACCCCCACACTCATCTGCCTTGAAATTTCTTTTGCCAGATTAATCAGTCCACCGCCCTTAATGTCAGTCTCTGGCAAAGTCTCTGGACAAGAGCAAAATGCAGACAAACTTTCTGCCAAGCCATAACACACATAATCTGGAGTCCAAAAGCCAATGCAGTTCTTCTTTCCAGCAGAAACCTCCCATATGCGGTCTTTACTAGCAGGATTTCTATCAGCCTTCTGGTCTTCTGAGCTTCAACCAGACTGTCTCATACAGTACAGCTGAAGGTATTCCAGCTCTGCTCTTTCAGCTGACATCTCTGAACGTTTCCAAGCACTTCCCACAAGCCATTTCCAAAGGCTCTTGAACCACATGATCAGGTGTAGTCACAGTAATGATCCCATTCCTCTGGTACCAAATTATGTCTTAGTTACTTTTCTTTTGTTGCTGAGACAAAAGACCTGACCACTAGAATTAAGGAAGGAAAGGTTTATTTAGCTCACAGTTTGTGGAGGTTTCAGCTGGCTCCAAGGCAGAGTGGCATATGGCAGAGGGAAAAAGTTCATGGTGGCAGAAGACAGCAAAAGCAAGAGCAGAAGGGACTAACAGCAAGGAAACCTCTTTTGTCCTTTACATTGTATGCAAACTACACACCCCAGGGCAGGTGTAGCACTCATACCCATAATCCTAGCACTGGATCAAGAATCACTCAAAAATTCTAGAAGCCCACCCCATGACTGCATGAGGCTTTGCGGGGACATCCAGACACAAACCATAACAGACAGGATCTTGCTAAATTGTCCAGGCTGGGCTTGAGCTTGTGACCCTCCTGCTTCAGCCTCCCAGACTGCCAAGTTCGTACCCAGTTCCTATATGTTATGGTATGTCTTGATGTGCCCCCCACACACACACACAAAGCCTCATGCAGGCATGAGGGCAGGCTTCTCAAGTTTGTGATTGATTCAAGGTCTAATGTTAGGATTAAGGGTGTGAGTGCTACACCCACCCTAGGGTGCATAGCCTGCATAGTATAAGGGACAGAAAGGGGCTTATTTTCCCCTGTTCCTCTCTTCCCTTGTTGCCTCTGCTGTTTTCCACTGCCATGAACTGTTGCCCTTCTGCCATACCACCCTGCTTTGGAGCCAGCTGCTTAGACTGAAACCTCCACAAACTGTGAGCTAAATAAATCTTATCCCCTTTAACTTTGGGTGTTGGATATTATTTTGTCTCAGCAATGAAAAAAGTAACTAAGACACCATAAAATACGTGAGCTCTTGCTAGCTTCCTGCAGACCCTTCTCCAGTTGATGTAATCTTGTAGCTATTATCTTGTCTTTACTAGAAAGTGTTTTTTTTTTGTGTGTGTGTGTGGGGGGTGTTTTTGAACCTGGGTATAGTGATGCACGCCGGTATTCTCAGCACCCTGGGATGCTGAAGCAGGACTTTTGAGTCCACCATTAGTAATTTAGGGAAAGCCTGTCTCAAGAAATTAAGAGTGCCAAGCCCTGGGCTCAATCTCCAGTACCCCCCACCCCAGCACACACAAAAGTGCAACCTTTCTTTCACCCTTTCATATTGACTGATATAATTCGTGAAAATAAACATTTAGGGATCATCATGAATTCAGAATATGAAAGTAACTTTGAGGAAACAGTTGCTTGTCTGCTCTGAAGGCTCTCTGATTCTTATGTAACCAGTCTGGGAAATGGACGAGAGAGAAAGCCCTTCGATTTGCCACAGGAGACCCCAGGCTCTCAGGTGCGACTGGGAGTCTGGCCGAGGCATCAGGAGGGTGATGCCAGGGCCCAGGGCACTCTGCTGGCTTTGCCTATGGGATTGGTGCAGGGAGGGGCTCTTTTATATTTTGGCCCAGGGCAAGAGATCTTATCTGCAAAATCCTAGTACTGTGCCTGGTCCTGAAATAATGAAAGAATTAAGCCTGGGATGACCCAGTTACTCAGTAGTTGCGGTACAGCCCTGGCATTGTTTATTACCTTCCACACTGTATGTGTTAATTTCCTGACTATATTTTTTCAGAACACATCTGCCTCTTTAAACTCTGTGCCCATAGTTACAGTGTCAAACAATAACTTGAATTCATCAAAGCCAATTATTGCAGTTCCTTTTTTTTTTTTAAACTTGGAGTTTTTCATGTTAAGTTGTCATGGGAAAATAACTCTTAATAAATCCCTCTAAGCACAGGGAACTAGGGCAATTACTGACATTTTAAGAATTATTGAAACATTTTAAAGTTTTTTGATTAATGTTCTAAAGGACACAAGTAGCCCTTTTATCTTTCTTTTTTTCGGGGGGAGGAAGAGCTTCAATTAATTTCAAGGACAGACATCGGGCACATGGACTGTTCAAATCTAATTAATTATCTGGCTGTGACCACAACAGTTACACCTTCAATCATCTGTGATTCTCCCACACTGAAATAATTGCACACACCCTCTGGGGCCGTGACAGATATATATGTACAGGGCGAATTATAATAACTGAAGAGGGAAATCAAGTTCTGTCTGTTAGTGGCTCATCAATTTAGTCATGCATTAAATATTCAATATTTGATGTAAAATATTTAAAGTCCTACAGTGGTCCTTCGAAGCAAAAACACACAGGTTGGGTTAAACAAGCACATTACTACTCTGTACTATAAATTAGATTAAAATCCCACAGCTGGGGAAGCAGTGGTGGAAAGGTCCCAGGAGATGATGTGGCTCAAGAAAATCCCTGGGGGTGGGTTTGCTTCCATCTGTGATCTGCAGGAAGCTGATGGCCAGTGACCATCTTGACCAGGGAGAGCTCTTCTCATGCTGAGTAACACTGACTTGGACTTGATGTATTTACCAATTAGAATGTACATCCAAAAACAAGCACAAGTGGGCATGGTGGGGCATCCCTGTAATCTTAGCCTTGGGAGGCTGAGGCAAGAGAATTGTCACAAGCCCGGCCTGAACTATACACAGTGAGACTCTACTTCCAAAAGAGGGAGGGGGCGCAGAGTTTGACTCAAACATGCATTTAACTTTCAGAAAAAATACCTGATCTTTAAACCTGTCTTGGAAAAGCTACTTAGGTCACTGTGGTAAGGCAAAAGATAAAAGAATGTTGCAGCCATACATCAATCGCTGTTGAAAGCCTCATCTTTTCTACCACTCCCTGAAACACAGATTATGCCAGGTTTTTAAAAACGCCGTATCCCGGTCACAGCGGAGGGGTGGTAGGTAGGTCTGGAGTGCAAATAGAAAAGTAAGCTTTCGAACAGGCTGTGACATGTGTGCCATCAAACGCATCTTTTCTTTGGCACAGGGGTTTGGAATTCACAGCTCCATGGAAACAGCTGCCTGTCAGTCCAAGCCTTGGTGCACCGATACTGGCGACAGCTCGAGGATTATTTCCACGTGGGACTCCAGGGGTTTCTACAAGGCAGAAGAGCTGAGCACCCAGCCCGGCACGCATCGTGCTTCTCCCAGCACTGCTACCCCAGCTGTAGCCGCAGAATCTGGCTTCTCTGGAAGAGCAGCTAGAAGAAGGCGTATGAACAGCAATGCTGAACACAAGCGGCCCAAAGATTGATTTCCGCTTGGTTATTTGTCCCTTGTGAAGCTCACACTGAAGTTTGGTCTCTGCCATAACAATGTTGAGAGGTAACGGGAACTTTAAAGGGTGTTTGTGTCATGCGGGGGCGGGTAAGGCTGTTCCAGACCCTGAGCTAGTTCTCGTGGCGAGAGTTGTTATCGCGAGAATAGGTTGTGGGAAAACCAGTTGGCCCCTGTGTGTGTGTGTGTGTGTGTGTGTGTGTGTGTGTGTGTGTGTATTTTTTTTTTTTTTTAATTTTTTTCTTTTTTTTGTCTTTTTGAGACAAGGTCTCACTGTGCATTTCAGGCTGGCCTTGAGCTCACCTTGTAGCCCAGGCTGGTCTCCAACTCGAGACGATCCTCCTGCGTCAGCCTCCCGAGTGCTGGGATTACAGGCGTGCGCCACCATGCCTGGCTAAAAACATCACAAAAGTCAGTTTTATGTTTCAAAAAACTTAGGCTGTAATTGCAATTATACACAATTCTTAAAATAGACAAAGAATGAGTCAAATGTCGATGGGGAAGCTTTCGATTAAGCCCTGTGGTGACTCTGTGGATGTCCCTTTGGACTACTGCAGTGATCACAACGAGGCTTACTTGATTAATTTCCCCAGAAGTCTCCCTAATCCTTTGTATTTAACTTACTCTCTTTCATGTCAGTGTCCTGTATCCATTGATTTCCCTTCTGCACTTGTTAACCTGTCTGAATCTTGTCTCATCCACCTTTGTCCAGGGCTTTGCTTGTGATGCAATCGATATGACATTCACAGACTGTGTGAAATCTGATTTTGCTGCGATTTCTCCTGAGGTGATCTATTGTATCCCACTCCACTGTCAAGAAGAGGATGATCCCCCCAAATGATGATATGATAGGCAAAAGCTCTCTTATTGGATCAGTAGTAAATGAAGTTTTGGCAACATTCTCCAAATCTAATATATTTTGGTTTTTTTTTTTTCATTATTTTCTATACATAACTAAGATTGCCATTTTTATTATATCTCAAAGACTTACTATGCCCCCAAGATTTTTTAAGGACTATTTTTTTGTTTTGATCGGTAAACTATTTGAATATTTTGTTGATCCTTTTTTATTTGAGATCTAGTTTTATTGCATTGTGGATAATAGAAATTCTACATTTTGGAATATATTCACATATCCTTTACTGCCTAATGTAAAATCTCTTTGGGGTAAATGTTCTATATGAAAAGAATGTGTATTCTTTGACCAATACAACACCGATACATTTTATCACGGTTATGTGTTGTTATTCAAATCTTCCTTAACATTTACAATTTTTTATTTTAATTAATTATTTATATAGTTTTTTAAAACAGGGTTGTGTTATGGACTTAAGATTAGCCTTGAACTCCTTTTGTAGGCCAGACTGGCCTAGAATTCTTGATGTTCCTGTCTCAGCCTCTTGAGTGCTGGGATTATATGTGTGCACCACCACACCTGACTTTGTTGACTTTGTTTTAAAAACAGATCTATTGAGATATAATTTATATGCCATTAACCTCACTGAGTTAAATTATTCAATGATTTTTTTTGCATATTGACAGAGTTCAGTGATAATAATCATATTTTAAGTCTAGCCTAACATCAAAATCTACTGCAGGTTTATAATTTAATACCATAGACATTTTAGTGATATAGGAATTTTATTCCTGAGTATAGCTCCATCCTACTCTTTGCTATTTCATTTATATATTGCCTATATTAAAAACCTAATAATATAACATAGCTGATGATACATACATATATATACAATATATACATAATTGATGTATTATGTAGTCTCAAGATTTTTAGAGAAACAGGAGAGAAAGCACATATTCATAGAATTTGTTATATTATCATTTTTACCTGCCATTTTTTATTCTCTTCACTTATAATTATAGATGTGAGTAATTTTATGTTTTTTTTCTGTGTATTTTATTGTTGTTTGTTCATTTTTGAGATAGAGTTTCACTATGTAATTCAGGCTGGCTTTGAGCTCACCATGGACGCCTGCCTGGCCTTGAATTTCCAACAGTCCTTCTGTCCCAGCCTCTCTAATGCTGGGATAACAGGTGTGCATCCCTGCAGCTGGCTTGTTTCATCACTGTGCTGCCCAGGCTAGTCTCAAACTCCCAGACTCAAGCCATCCTCCTACCTCAGGTTCTTGAATAGTTAGGACTATACGCACATGCTTCTGCACCTGGCTGTGGATTTGAAATGCCATCTTGAGCTCATTCCTTACTCCTTTATCAGTTTGCTTCCACTTCCTTTTTATATAATGTTATTATCAAATATATTACACTCCAATGTGTTACAGACCCAGCAATACAATCATATACACATTGTTTTATGAAAAAAATTTTTTTTGTCTTTTTTGAGACAGGGGTAAATGCAGTTCTCTCTATGCAGTTCAGGCTGAACTTGGGCTCACTTTGTAGCCCAGGCTGGCCTCGAACTCACAACCATCCTGCCTCAGCCTCCCCAGTGCTGGGATTACAGGTGTGCGCCACCATGCCCAGAGTGAAATTATTTTATAAATCAGCTAAGAAAGAGAAATATACAGTTATATACTATCTTTTGTGTTTTTTGCATAATTACGTTTTCCAGTGTATGTGCTCTGTGTGTATGTGTATGTGTGTGTGTGTGCGCGTGTGTTCAAATTACTACCTGGAGTTTCTTGATTTTGCTTGAGTATATCTTGTTAAGCAGATGTAAACATATAGCAGTGTTATCAGGCTTTGTTTATCTGGGAGTGTCTTTATTTTGTCTTTATTTTTAAAAGATCAAAGATAATTTTGCCGGGTAGAAGAGTCTTGTTTGATAAAATTTTATCTTCAACACTTTGAATCTACCACCCTACTTCCTTCTTACCTCCATTGTCTCTGGTGAAGAGCCTACTGTTAATCTTACCGAAGACTCCTTTTGTTTGCTAAGTGTTTTTCTCTTACTGCTTTTAAAATGTTCCTGTCTTTAGCTTACAGTGTTTTTCCACTGATGTGTCTGGATGTGAACTGCTTTGTTTATGTACTTACAGAGCTTTTGGTTGTATAGGTTACGTTTTTAATCGCATTTGGAAAATTTCAACTATTGTTGCTTTGAACACTTTGAACACTTTTCTCTCCTCTCTACATAATTCTTTTATGTATATTTTGGTGCATATAATGCTCTCTCACACTTATACTGATTTTTCCTTCTGCCAGCTGAGATCTTCTGTTTGAACTTTCAGACTAAAGTCTTCATTTTGATTATGGTACTTTTCAACTCGAATTTCTATGTGTTTCTGATTAAATAATTTTATCTCTTATTGATGTGACATGGCCATCATCCCTTGTTTTAATTCTTTAAGTATGTTTCTTTTAGTTCTTTGAACATATTTCTAATAGCTTCTTTGAAGTTTTTGCCTGCTTTTTCACCATCTGGCTGTTCAATTCCATGTCTTTTAAACTATTTCTCCCCCTAGCTTGTCAAATATTGAGAGGCATATTAAAATAGCCCACCAAATGTTTTCATACATTCTTTCTTGTATTTGTCACTTCTAATTTTACAAATTTTGGTGCTGTTATGTGCATGACAGTTTTTTTTCTACTATGGTGTTATTAAATATTGAACAGGTATAAATTAATATTTATGAGAGAAGTAATAACGGTGTAGAAAATACCCATCAAATTTGAGAAAAAGAATATTTCATTTTTTATCTTATGGAATGAACTTGGAGCATTTATAAGATATCAAGATAACAAGACCATTGTGTTTCCATAGTATGACAATGTGATATTTGCTCAGGGTAGACAAATAGACTATTGGAACAGGACAGAAAGTATGAAATTAAACTTATTAATTAAATATATGGGCATTGAATTTATGACTAAAGAGAGAAATGCAGAGCAGTAGATTTGATTTGTAGTAATTCATGTATTAACAGTAACCTGTGTGTTTCATACATTGTGAATATTTTCTACCTTATTTGGAGCTTCTTTTTCATTTATTTTAGACAGAGTCTCACTATGTAGTCCAGACCGGCCTTGAACTCACAGTGATCCTTCTGCCTCAGCCTCCCAAGTGCTGGGGTTGTAGACTTGTGTCATCACACCCAATTTGAAGCTTTTCTTTAGTTCTTTGACTTTAGATTTTTCCCTTTTTGACTACACAGTTTTATTTTTAAATTTGTATGTGGTAAAATATATTGAAGTTGTCTTCTTTGGAGTCTAGGTCTGTTATGGTTGATACATTGTGTCAACTTGAAGAGTCTAGAAGCTTTACTAAGTAACTCAGCAGGTCTACACCATGGGGTGAAAAGGACATGCCCTTGCTGCTCTAGGATATTGTTCATTGTGTCAACTTGAGAAGCTTAAAAGTTCAACTTTAAACTTTAAAGTGATTTAGCAGAGGGTCTGCACTTTGTGAACATCCTCAGCTTGCAGAAGAGGAGGGCACGAAGATGGTGTGGGCGTGGGCGTGGGCGTGGGCTGATAGGGGAGATACACTATAAGGAGGGACAAGAGGCTTGCTCCCTCCCCGCCCTTTTGCTCTCGCTGCTCTTGCTGTCTTGTGCCACCTTGAAGTATTGCCCCTGTGCTCTGCCACCCTGCCTTGGAGCCAGCTGATTATGGACTGAAACCTCCACAAACTGTAAGCTAAATAAACCTTTCCTTCCTCAATTTTGAGCATTGGGTATTTTGTCTCAGCAACGAGAGAAAAGTAACCAAGACAAGGTCTCCTGAGTTATTTATTTAACTTAAAGAGGTATAAGGATTGACTAGGCAGAATTTTAAAAGTATACACTCGAAGGCCCTCAAGAGAGGGGTGCACTATAGTCAGGAATTGGGGAGACTCGTGTGTTTTGGGGAGAGGAAATCTGTAGAATCTATGAATCTATAGAAAGTTTGGGCTTGGTTTACAGGAGAAAAGCAATGGTCCATCAACAGAAATAAAGATAATGGCTCATTTTATTAGTAAAAGGATGACCCATTTTACAGAAGAAAGGCAAATGCTCAGTTTATTGTATTTCTTTCTTTTTTTTTTTTTATCTTTTTGAGACAGGATCTCTCTATGCAGTTCAGGCTGGCCT